TTACGGGGAGACAACTGCGAGATAGTTTTTCCTCAAGCTCTGCACGCGGTCGGCACCACTTACCCCCTGAGTGTGGTAATTTTTCTTTTGAGCTAAAAGAGCTAGTCAAATCTCCCTTGTAAGTCTGCTGGGAAGATACTGAAGGAGGAGGAGGAGGAGGAGGAGGAGAGAGGACCTGATAGTTTAGTTTGCCAGCGTTGACTTCGAAGAGAGTCCCTAAGACAGGAGAGGACGAGACGTCGCTCAAGTCTTTCTGCATCTCCCTGCCATCCCCCTGCGCCTCATCTCCACTCCTGCACTGGTTCACTCCTCTCAACGCCCTGCAACAACCACGTCACGTTCTTTCCTCCTCCTCTCCGTCGAGCTGTCAGGTCGGAGGATCATCAACGTCAAAAGAAAGGGGAGCAAGTGAGTTGGAACTAATGGTGTATCATGCTTGATGATGAGATGGGATGTGTTCTATGCAGGACACTATCGTAACACAAGTGTCCTGCCCTTCTCACGCGTAAGACAACCTTCCTAACACCAACAGCTTCATCAAGCACTCGTGTCCTGCAGCTAGTTCTCTTCGACAACTCACAAAGTTGGAAGGTTGGCGAAGTTGGATGTCTTTGACTTGGGGGTATCGCCTCCGTTCGATCCCTGTAAAGTCATCTCAATCATCTTTGTCGTTGTCATCGTCATCGTCGTTGTCATCGTCATCGCCACCAACACCAACATCAGAAACAACAACAATCAAAAATCCATCACCATCATCACACTTGGCGTCATTCACAAACACCAACAACTTTCAATTTTCAAGTATTACCTCCACATAGAAGTTCACGATGATCCGGCGAAACCCCGCGGCGTTCCCATCATCCTGAATATCTGCAGAAGCGGTGAGCAAACAAGACCCGAAACTCTATCTAATACACATCATTTCCTCTCTCATTCTATCCAGAACACATCATTTCATCTCCATACCTTCGAAACGTGTGTCCTTAATAATCAGCTCTAGTTGACCTGGAGGCACGCGGATGGTGCCCTGTATTCAAACTCAGAAAAGAGCATGTCGAGGGCTGGAGCAGGAGCAAGAAGAAGAGAAGAAGCACGAGCAGGGGCAGGGGCAGGGGCAGGAGAAGGGGCAGGATCAGGATCAGGGGCAGGGGCAGGAGCAGGAGCTCACATTTTTGTCGAGCGGGGGAGCGACTGCAAGGCGCATGGTGAGGGATTCGTAGCCTGAGAGGAAGCCTGAACTTGGCTCGATGCGAACCTGAGGGAGCAGGAGACGGCGTGAGAGAGCGAAGGCGAGCAGGGAGAAAGGGAGGAAGAAGCTGGGAAGGGAGAGAAGGGAGGAGGACGAAGGACGGAGTTCGGAGTTGCAAGGAGGAAAGAGGGGAGGAGGAAAAGAGTGAAAGATTGAGAATGGAGGGAACATGGAGGAGGGAGGAGGCAGAGTGGAGGGAGCAGCGTGAAGGGAGGGAGGAGGAGGGAGGAGGGAGGAGACAGAAGGAATGGGGGAGGGAGGAGGGAGGAGGGAGGGGGGAGGTCTACCATGGAGCTGTCCATCCCCTGGATGAGCCTGGGTTTGACCTCGTAAGGGACTCCAGACCCGGAGAGGGAGGTTAGGAGGAGCGAGGTCGACTGCCACGTCTCGTCCTGCTGCGAACCGGCTCAGGTGCAGCTAGCACGAGAAGAGCTGGGTCACCTCGCCCCTGAGGCTGATCTTGGGGTCCTGGAGGGTCTCGAGCTTCCAGGTGAGGGAGAGACGTTCGCAGTCCACGCTGATGGTGCTGGGGGAGGGTGAGGAAGGAAGGCGGGGGAGAGCGGTGGAGTGGAGGCGAGGAGGAGGAGGGAGAGGAAGGAGGAACTAATAGGACGTGGGAAGGACGAAGAGCAAGAAGGAAGGGGCCAGAGGGGAGAAGGAGAGAGATGGAAGAGAAAGGAAACCCGTCTTACCTTCCTTGTGCCAAAGAGCCGAGCACGAGCACCTGTACCCGCAGAGTCAGAACCAGATGAGAATATTCCTGCTCTCCTCCTATCCCTGTCCTCCTACTCACTCCCTTCTTATCATGCTCAGGCTGCTCTCCCTCCCCCCTCCTTCTTTTCTTCCTCTCATGTTTCACCTGCTCAGTAGGTAGACTTGGCGACTGAAACAAAATCTTTGCGAGCGCGATCTTTCCTCGATCTTTCAGTCCCTCGGGCACCTGAAGACCAACAGTACTTGAGGGCAGAGAGCCATGCATGTCCGCTCAACATGCGATCTCCTCATTCTTTTCAAAATCGTCCCAAGAATCTTCACCAGACTATCATCTTCGTTTTCATCGTCATCATCATCTCAATCATTCTCATCTCAACCATCATCATCGTTGTGATTGAGGTTATGATAATCATGCTGTTCCCCTTTTCCCCTTTCTCCCTTCCCTTTCCCTTTCTCCTTCTCCGACCTCACTCCTCCTTTGGTTCACCTTGAACAATCCTTCTTTGCACTTGCACACGACGACAATTTGCATGCTCTGTGCAGGGTTCAAGGAAAAGCTCTCCACGTGTGTAGAGGTCGAGGACGAGAGAATGTCAACCTGTAGGACAGATATCAGGGCAAGAGCAGAAGGATAAAAGAGGAAAGATGAAAATAACGTGAAAGAGGAGGAGGAGGAGCAGGAGGAGGAGGAGCAGGAGGAGCAGGAGGAGCAGGAGGAGGAGCAGGAGCAGGAGCAGGAGCAGGAGCAGCAGTGAAGGGCTTCTACAGTAAGCAGGTTGAGAACGCTCTCTTCAATCTCGACGTAGGCATGGAGCTCGAGCGGCTCGTCGTTGATGTTGGTCACAGTGATGAGCTCACTGCTCTTGGCCTCCCGCGGTGAAGGAATCACCTGCGTCACCGCGTTGGAAGAGAGGAGAGGAGAGAAGGAGAGGAGAGGAGAGGGAGAGAAGGCAGGAGAGGCGAGTACAGGAAGGGAGGGGAGGGGAGCAAAGAACAGAGCAGAACAGAGCGGAGGGCGAGAACAGGACAGGACAGAACAGGATCGAAGATATCACAAGTTCGGGCATCGTTAGCTGGAACCCTCCTTCCTTGACTTGTCCTTCGGAGATAAGCTGCCTCCCCCTGCAAGGAGCCAGTCAGGGAGGAGTAGGAAGAGCGCGGATGCTGCACGTGAAGTGAAGGAGAGTGCTTGCGATCACTCTCGCCGTCAAGACGAAAGTCAAACTGTTGAAGGGATTGTGGACGTTGCTGACGGTGATGTCGAACTGAGAGAAGAGAGTCAAAGAAGAAGACGCGAGAGCGGGAGGGGGAGAGGAAGAAGAGGAAGAGGAAGAGGAAGAGGAAGAGGAAGAGGAAGAGGAAGAGGAAGAGGAAGAGGAAGAGGAAGAGGGAGCCGTATTGGGGAAGGGCCAGGGAGCGGTATTGGGGAAGGCAGAGACAGGGACGAGGACAGGGAGGAATTCATCGCATCTGACCTGACACAGTCCTCCTTCATTGACCATGGCGGGCTTGAACAAGCCTTGCACTATCCCCTGCTCCTGTGTCGAGCTTGTCATGCAAAGAGATGGAGAGAGAGAGCAAACCAGTGGGTCGATCTGGTTGTAACAGGAGGAAAGCTCCTCCTGCCGGTCGCTGCTGGAGCTGCACCGACGACGATCATCTCCCAATCAACCTCCTCCTCTCCCAATCAGCCTCCTCCTCTTCCCTCCTCTCCTCCTCCTCTCGCCTTAATCCCTCGTCCCTCCTCTCCCCGCTCTCTTCTCTCTACTTCTCCTTCCCCCTCCTCTTCCCCCCTCCTCCAACTCTCTCCTCCGCTGCTCCTCCTCCTCTCTCCCCATTGCCCCCGCGCTCTCCCACCTGAGAAAGACGATCTCATGCATGGTCTTTGGATAATCAAAACCTGGCCCAGAGAACTTCGAGGCCTGACGGAGACAAAAGTAAATCCTGGTGAGGCAAAGGAGGACCAAGACCGAAGAGGAAGCGGAGTAGAAGCAGGAGCAGGAGCAGGAGCGGGAGCGGGAGCGGGAGCAGGAGCAGGAGCAGGAGCAGGAGCAGAAGGAAAGGAGAAGTTGATACAGATTCATGAGGAGGAAAAGCAGCAGCAGCAGCAGCAGCAGCAGCAGCAGCAGCAGCAGCAAACCTTTGACTCGATCAAGAGAGGAACGTCGGCAGAGTTAGCGATCTTGAGGGAGAATGGCACAGCATTCCACTGCCGCGCCAGTTAGAGGCAAGTTGAGGAACGGCAAGAGACGAGCAAGAGACGAGCGAGAGGAGGACGAGGAGGAGGAGGAGGAAAGGTTGGAAGTAGATAGGATCAATTCAACTCAAAGAATCAAGGAGGGGAGAAGCTCCACGGCAGGATGTTGATGGGAGAAGGAACAGGAAGTACAAGGTGAAGAGGAAAGGAGAGGGCGAGACATCGCGAGGGAATTGAAGCACTAGGAGCAGGAGCAGGAGTTACCTGGTTTACGTGCCCTATCTTGCCGAGATCTATCAACTGCGGCTGAAAACAGGAAGTGAAATGAGTCTCGGCAGTTGACGACAGGAAGAGGAGAAGGAGCAGCGGGACGACGACGATCAGGAGGAGGAGAGCAAGTGCACGAGGAGCAGAAGCGAGAGGAGGAGGAGGAGGAGGAGGAGGAGGAGGAGGAGGAGGAGGAGGAGGAGGAGGAGGAGGAGGAGGAGACCTCTCCAAACAAACACTCCAGCGT